AGTTGGGATCCTCTCCAAGATACGATACTGCGTGCCGCAAAATTTCCCTTCCAACTATACCATTCACTCATTTATCGATACCAACCTAATGCTATTTTTGTTTTGGGGAAATCAACTGCACCCAACACACAAAAGCCAATAATAACCCAGCAAAAAGCCTCAGTAAGAATAATCACAAAACCCTTTCCCTGGAAACCCCCCCCCCCCCCCCACTCTTTCAAAGATCAAACTTACCCCCGGGTTCAAAACTTTCACATTTTAATTGCAATTTACATATACAGGACCTTAAATTCCAATACCACCTTGACCTAAAATGTTTTCTTAATATGGGGGACGGCCCCAACAGGCAAAAAACACCAGACACAAACACCCTTAAATGACATTCCCCGGTCCGACAAAACCCTTTAAAAAAAATTCCCAATGTATGTCAAAGGCCCAAAAAATCGGGAAACCCCTACCTGAAAACATCATCACCTTAAAAAATTTACCGTTAAAAAAAATTTTATCTCCCTGAAAACCCCCCCGTCAACTAACTACATAAAAATCCTGGGGGGGTTCACACTTACCCTCACCCATTCACTCATTTGATTAAAATTTAAAAATACATATTCTTTGTTTTATAAAAATTTTTTGGATTTTTTTTATAATTAATATTGAAACGGGTACAACTATGAAAAAATTTACTTTCCTACTGTACAACTATGATATACTACTCCTTAGTATTAAGTAGAATTAAGCCAAAAATGTTAATTTGGGGCCCAAATGCCAAGGCATAATAGGGGTTTCCTTTGCATTGAAACCCCCACTATTGTATAAACACAATCTCAATGAAATGTTTGCAAAAACTTTAAATAAAAAAAATTTAAAAAAGCACAAAAATATTTTTCTTAATCTTAAAATAATGATTTTTAAAAAATAATCTTAAAATTTTTATTCCTAACTCCCCCAAAATTTGCCTGTGAACCCCAAAGTAAAAACTATGTTTTGGGTCCCCCAAAAAAAAGCATTCACATTGTTTAAACCCCAAAAAACAGAAATTTTGGGTCATGCCCTAAAAAAACAAACCCAGATGACAGCAAGGACTGAACAGTCCCGGGCTAACCCCAAAGCATTCTCATACCCATAAAAAAAAAACACCAATTTTGAAAAACAGAAACAGAATGGGTCACATAACCAGGGGCCCAAACAAAACGTACTCGTCAACCCTAACCACCTGATAAAAAGGGGGCCAAAAAAAATTGTATTTTTGAGAACAGATTACCCAAATTTACAGGTGATAAAAAAAGCCCGGGAAAAACCCCTACCCCCCCCCAAATTCTGGGAAAAAAAAGATTTCACAAAAATAAAAAATTTTAAAATTAGCAAAATCGGGATAAACCCCAACTCCCACCAACAGAAACAGCAAACAGACTCAATGATTTCTTCTCCACTAAAAGGACAAAACCTTGCCAAAAAAATTTCCCAAGCTCTTTCCCCACCAAATGACTACCTCACCGGCCCCCCAACCCCAGAAACAACTGTTCCTGGGGGGCTCCCGGACTAACCCCATCGCAAGGGGTTTTTCCCCTTAATTACAATTGCCTTAAAAAACATGGAAAAAAGGGAGATTTAAAACCTTACCCCCCTTTTAAAATATAAAAAAAAATTTCCAAAGTCTATCACCAATCATTGAAAACACCCCTTTAAAAAAATCCATTGAATCCTCCACCTTCCCCTACAGTACTCAAAATAGCAAGGGTCACCCGATCCAAAAAGGAGGAACCAAACAGAGTTGAATAACTATAGGCCAACCCCCCAACTTAAAACCCTCTCTCAAAAATCTTAAAAAAAATTAATTCATAAACGAAATCAAACCCCTCCCTTTTATCTCCCAAAACATACTAAACCCCCCAAATTTGGTTTTCAGGCCTAATAAAAATACTAATGATGCTATTGTAAAAATGCTAAACATATATACCCCGCAAAAGAGAAAAAAAAAAATTTTCCCCCTGGGGATCTTCATTGCCCTTACTTTAAATTTTTTGTTTCCCATTGACCATGATTTGGGTCCACGAAAAAATTTGTCACACTATGGTATAAAGAGGGCACTCCCTCAATACCAAGTCATACCTCAGCAACAAAGCCAATAGGTACCCCAAAGGGGGCAAACCTTCTGCAAAACCCAATTTACAGTTGGTGCCCCACGGGGAATTGCCCTTTGGGGCCCTTTTTCTTTTCCCTATACAAAATGACCTCCCCAAATGCGCGCAATTACTCAAAGCCCCCACTTTTTGCAGAGGGACACTCAAAACGTCTTCTCCCACCCGACCCCAGTCACGTTTACCCAAAATACTGAAAAATACCAAATTACAGAAAAAAATCTACCTGGATGAGGACTAACAAACTTACACAAAACCCTTGAAAAAAATATTTCATTCATTTTGGTAACAAGCTAAAAGGTGCCCCTCTTAACTTTAATGATAAAGGGAAATCCCCCTATCACAAACAAAAAAGGGGGAAAATTCTTGGGAATCCACCTTGATAATAGACCCCAAATTTCATACCATAAACAACAAATTTCAAAAAAAAAATTTTCCAAGACTGTGGGAAACCCTATCGAAGATAGGGGTACTTTTGCCCCAAAATCAGCCCTCCTGGGCCCCATATCACTTTACTTTTTACCCCCTTTTTCACCTATGGAATTTTTGCATGGGGCTCAACAAAAATTAACCATCTCAGACCACTAATTACCCCAAAAAAAGGCTTTCAGTTAGAATGATAACAAATTCTCATACAGGGAGCACCCCCCACCAATATTCAAACACTAAACCTACCCCCATACAAAACAAACCTACTTATTACTGCACCCATTTCATACATAAAACTTAACCCCTGATTTAACCCCCCCTCAAACATCCCTTGCCAACCTCAAAAAAAAACACATGACCATAACACAAGGCACAGATCACTCTTTGATGTTCCTCGTGTCCAAACTCACACTATGGGAAAAACTCAAAGCACATAAAAGGCCCCCAAAATCTGGAATTTTTTACCTGTAAAAATAAAAAAACACTACTTTTTATAAATTCAAGTCTTTCTCAAAGATTAACCTTTCTCACCCAAAACCAAATAAAAAACTGAAAACTCAACCTTATAAATTGTAAAAACTTAAATGTTTCTCACAAAATTAAAAACACATAAATGTTAAAACCCAAAACCCCAAACCAAATTTTTCTATTTTTTTTAAAAAAAATTCCCCAAAAAATTTTTCCATACACGAATGTACAAAATACATGCAACCATATGACCCGTCTTTGTAATACTCACTTGTACCTTTTTAGTAAACTTGTTTTCATTAAAGTTTTAAACACTGATTTCATCATTGCCCCTTTGTTAAACTTTAAATTAATTTTTTAAAACCCCGCCCGTAAACTATGCTTTGTATAAGTGGCTTTGGCTTTCTGCTTTTTATCTGTATTTTTTTTTTGTAAACCCCTGTTTTGTTGCACAAATTGTAAAAAAATAAATTAAATTTAAAAAAATAAATAAATAAAATTATTTCCCCAATTTGTAATAATTTAGGGGTTTAAAATTAATTTTAAGTTTGCCCAAAATGCCTAAACCATGCCCAAGGGGTTTTTAGTGGGCCCCCCCCCGTAATTAGTATTTTTTTTACATGTAAAACCCCCAAAAAAAACCCAAAAACCCGTAAACCCCGCATTGTAATCCTTTTAAGAATAAAAATTTGAAATTTTATTTTTTGATTTGATTTTTACCAAAAAGCAGCCCTATCACACATAAAAATTCACTGATTTTATCCCCACCTCACCTTGCATTTGTCCTGGGCATCAACAACAGCAACCCACCTAAAACCAATAAAAAACTCAACAAAAACTCAGTATGAATTATCCACAATCCCGTCTTTGGGCGATGCAAACCCCTCCCCCCCCACTCTTTAAAGGGCCTAAACCAAATAAAAATAAAATTTCACACCACTACTGTGCGCCAACTTTACAGAAAAAAAAAATTTAAATTTAATCCCAAATTAAAAAAACTTTATTGGGTAGCTGCCCCGGACCCCTTTGCCATAATACCACACAAAAAACTCGTGACATTCCCCCTGTCTGGGAAAAACTCTTTAAAAAATTTTAAAGTACATAAGAGTCAAAAATCTGGAACTCTGCCTGGAAAACTCCAGCAAAGTACAGTGTTTGCTCAGGATACAAAAATTAATTTTTTCCAGAAGGCTGTTCGAGTGCCGAATTTAATGAAATTGTTCCTGGAGAGATTTACCCGGAGAGAGTTTTCCGGGGGGGAAAAGCCCCCCTGGCCCGGTTGGGCCAGGGGCCCCATGGGGGATCAGAGCCCGATCAAAAACCCGGGGGTTACTGCTGGCTGACCAAATTCCCCAATTTCGAGCCCCAAACCCAAATGGTCAGGGGACCCCAAAAAATAATGCAAAATTTGATTCACTGTTTCAGACCCCCAAAAAAACCTTTCTTTGGGGGACTTACATAACCGTTTTTTAGTTTTTTAGCTGTTTTGTATCCCGGGGGTACCACGGGACTAATTTTGGTCAACCCCCAACCCCCCCCCCCCCAAAAATATCCCTTAAAAAAACCCCCCTCTCCCAAAAATAACCCAACATCAGCTAATTATGTGAAAATACACATGCTTATTTTCAAATGTTTAGGAACAAAAAATCTGAAAAAAAATAGACTTATTCTACATATCTATAATTCTTCCAAAAACTATATAATTGATTGTATACCCTTCATGTTATTAATCAAACCTGTAATCCCTCTTAGCTAAACATGTTAAAGCCATATAGCATAAACTAATAAGATATTCAATTCTCTTATATTCATTGTAAACTAATTTCATACTCATGAACTCCTAATCTACATTGTAAACTCCTAATTTTATACTTACACTTACTCAAATAACTGCAAACATAAAATTCCTAAAATTGTTATTGCCTTCTTAAGATGTTAATCCTAAGTGTGCCTGTAATGCTCTGCTTATATAGGGGCTTTTGACACTGTAAACACATTGTAGCATACTGAGATAAAACCAATTCCATTACTAAATTACACTATTTGTAATACATACTGTTTTTTTTTTTGGTTTTTGCTGCCTCACTGTTATAAATCTTATTAATTATAAAATTTTGATTACCTAACCTTTGTAATGTGAAATAATGAACATTAGAATGCACCACTCCATAACCTGTGTCAATATAAAGCAGTCAGTAATAATGAGGATTAGTCTTCCGAAATGTCTAGGCAAGCTAGTGGCTTTCTTTGTACTTCATATTTTGTAATATGTAAACCACACATTGCAAACTTTACAAAGAAATAAAAATTTTGTATTCTAAATATAATTTCTTACCTGGAATTATATCTCTGTTGGCAATCATGTGTCGCCCTTGTGAGTGACTGTAGGCCAGCTTGACAGCACTGCTAAAGGATGGTATAGCAGGGTTGCACTCTGCTAATTTGGGGGGCTTAGGATTTACATAAGCAAATGAGCGCTGAGAAGAATTGAAAGCCATAGCTGAGACACTCATTGCCTTAGCTTTGCCTTTTGAGCTCATTTTCTGACACCTGTCTTTCATTTCTAGTAACTTATTTCTTTGTGATGCCTGAAGACATTCAAGTTCCAGGGCACGATCAATGTCATTAGAACATTTACCATATTGCTCCATGTCAAACAGCAAAACAGACCGAGACTCATAGGCTTGTGCCAAATCATCGTACACTTCATTATAAAGCTGTTTGACAGTGTCTTTAGTATTGTTATCAAAAAAAGAATTTCCTGTCATAATAGCTGGATGTGGTGCAGATAATATGGCTAAATTGTACAATTTTAATGCCTTATCTAAATTGCAAAGTTTATAGGCAATGTCTCCCTGTCTACAGTACACACGAGAAGAGTCTTTTGACTTGCTAGAAGGGAGCAACACTGGTGTCAGAAACCTATGAGCTTCATCCAGACTCCAAATATAATAAAACATTTCCTCTGTGGTGTACTTTGTTTCCATTTTACTTATTGCTTCCAGCAGCTTATTACTTTTCATTAACTCTCTTAGAAAGTTTTCTTCCAATTCTTCAAAACTCTGCTTGTAATCCATAATGATGATCTTACAACTTCTTGATGATCAATCTGTTTACATGAAAAAAATAAAACATTAAAAATAGATATACTATGTTTGCCTCAAACAACTATCAATTAGTTTGGAGTTCTAGAAAAGAGCTCTAAACACTGGATTAATGATTGAAAATAGATTTAGAAAGGATACAGAAAAGCACTGGCTCAGCAAATGATTTACTGAATAGTTCTGGACAATCATAAAACAGTAGTGCAGCATACTATAAAGATGTATGTGCATGAACGTATATATGCATGTTCATGTACAGTGTGTGTGCTTACACTTATGTGTGCATGTACACAAATGTGTGTGTGTGTATATGCATGTGCTTACACTTTTTAATGTGTATGTATGGGTATATGTACTTATATGTGTGTGCATACTTACATGTGTGTACTCACCTATCTGTACTTATGGAGGTTGAGTCACAACTCCTGGCCCCACCTCTTCGCTAGTCGCTACTAGGTCCACTCTCTGCTCCAAAAGCTTTATCATATCTCTTCTTAAAACTATGTATGGATCCTGCCTCCATCACTCTCTAGATTGTTATACTTCCTAACATTTCTGTGACTCATCTGAGTTTTCAGCTTCCAGTTGTGACTCCTTGTTGCTGTGTCCCATCTCTGAAACATCCTCTCCCTATCCACACAGTCAATTCCTCTCAGTATTTTATATGTCGTTATCATGTCCCCTCCTGTCTTCCAGCGTCGTCAGGTGTTAGTATGCACATATGTGCATATATGTATGTACACTTGTGATATATCACTGTATGTATGTACACATGTATGCATTTATACATATGTATGCTTGTGAAAGTGTGTACGATGGTGTGTGCTTATGCATGTGTGTGTATCTGTATGCATGTTTGTGTGTGTGAACATATGTATGCATATATATATGTTCACCTGTGCATATGAATATATTAGTCATATATATGTGCAGTGCATGTGTGTATGCATGCATGCACATGAATGTACAGTGGAACCTTGGTTTTCATGATTAATTCGTTCCAGAAAGTCTGATGAAAACCAAATTGAGCAAGAACTGAAGCAATATTGTAAATCCAATTAATCCGTTCCAGACACCCAAAAATATTAACAAAAAATACACTTTATAGAGAATAACTATAGTTTTACATACAGAAAACAATGAGAAATACATATAAATGACTAATGAAATGGATAAATGAACATTTAACATCACTTTTACCTTCATTAAAGACTCTTCTTGGCGTATGGAAGACGGCAAGGAGGGGAGAGGGAGGAAGAGAGGTTACTGTTTGGAAGGGGAATCCCCCTTCATAATGACTTCAGGTATCAAGGCCCCTATCTGGGGTTACTTCTCTTCTTTGTCTTTTACTGGCACTAGGACCAGCTTGAGAGTCACTGGACCCCTGTTGCACAATCAGTCCAGAGAGGTTTGTTTCTGGTGTTTCTATAAGATTTACCTAAAATGGGGCAATTGAACATGTTGCAGACACGATTTGCAACAGCTTGGTTAGGGTGATATTTCTTCACAAAACTTTGCAAGTTGTTCCACTTTGCACAAGTCCTTAACCCGTAAACAGTCCAAACGTATATATACGTTCACTACCCCAGTGCCCCGAATATTTTGAAAAATAAAAAAAATCTGTTTTTTTTTTTATTGAAAAAAGAGCACATTTTTCTAAATGTTATTGGATAAAACAAAAGATTTTTAGGGCTAGTACTTACCGAGATATGAGGCCGAGAAGTTGGCACTGGATGCTCACGTGACAGCAACATCGAGTCCTGCTGCCTGCAGAAGTGTTGCCGATATACCTTTTTCTATTTTTCATATTATTTTATATAATTTTTATGTTTCTGATAATTACAATTTATAATACTTCTTCTCATTTCATAACCAATCTTTGTTCTGACACTAATATTAGGTACTGAAATTGTACTCGAATTGTCACAAACACTCTGACAGGTGGACATTTGCACCTCCCTTGGTCATTTACTATTGTTTTGGAATATATACAAAGTATTTATAGGTCCCAGCAATGTTTTGGATATGTGGAAGTACATATATAATATATAATAATAATGAGGAGGAGAAGGAGAAGGAGGAGGAGGAGGAGGAGGAGGAGGAGAAGGAGAAGGAGAAGGAGAAGGAGAAGGAGAAGGAGAAGAAGGAGAAGAAGGAGGAGAAGAAGGAGAAGGAGAAGAAGGAGATGGAGAAGGAGAAGGAGGAGACGAAGGAGAAGGAGGAGGAGGAGGAGAAGGAGAAGGAGAAGGAGAAGGAGAAGGAGAAGAAGGAGATGGAGAAGGAGAAGGAGGAGAAGAAGTATAAGTAATAATAATAAAATAATAAGTTCCCTTGAAGCATGAGAAACAAAGTCCACCCTTGACAGTGACGTGATAAGATGAGATAACATTTGATATGAGCTGACGTTTGATGAGCATTCGCAAGGGTGCAGTGATAAGACTTGATAAGAAAAGATTAGTTTGTTTTCGCTGGTACACAAACATGTCTGTCTATTTCTGTCTGTCATGCTCCCTGTCTATCTGTCTAGCTCTCTGTCTCAGAGAGAGCCACAAGACTGCATCATCACGTTTACTCACATCTTCAAGCAGAGTATAGCACTTTGTCTGGGTTTTTTTTGTGTTATCCTAGGTAATTTACACTATGTATACTTGTATTTATGTGCACCTGTGAGACAGAGATAGACAGACAGATAAATAGAGACAGAGACAGGGATAGACAGAGACAGATAGACAGAGACAAAGATAGACAGAGACAAAGATAGACAGACAGAGATAGACACAGATACAGAAAGACAAAAGGAGACAGAGCCAGGCCGCCAGCAGCCAGCCAGCTAGCCTGCCTGCCAGCCAGCCGAAATTGTTTCTCTTTACTTAGGGCATAGGCTATAAGACATTCTGAAAGGGTGTTGCACAAATATTGCACATGGGTTATTATCAAGGTTTTTTGATATTTCCTCGACCACTTGTGGCCACATCCACCTCAAAGCCACTAAACTCAGGGTCAAAATCACTTTCCTCTTAAAATGGAAGTGTTAATACTACATGACATCAGTGAATCCCAGGTGTTTGCTGCGCTGTTTGCCCTAGCTGGCACTCATTTGAACTGGTGCTCCCACAAGGTACTAAGTGGTCCCAGATTTTTTTAATACTGCGCACATTGAGTGTTAGGACCCATTCTGTGCTGACAAGGCATCTCAGACCAGTCATGCCAAATTTGAAGGCAGGAAAAATAAAACGTGTATATACGTTTGGGGCACTAGCAGTAAAAATGTATACAGTGGACCCCCAGTTAACGATATTTTTTCACTCCAGAAGTATGTTCAGGTGCCAGTACTGACCGAATTTGTTCCCATAAGAAATATTGTGAAGTAGATTAGTCCATTTCAGACCCCCAAACATACACGTACAAACGCACTTACATAAATACACTTACATAATTGGTTTCATTCGGAGGTAATCGTTATGCGGGGGTCCACTGTATATACGTTTGGACCGTTTACGGGTTAATCACTGAAGAAGGCATATTCTCACAATGCTCACTCAATGAGAAACAAAGCCAGACTGAGTCAGAACGTGTGGGATGCTCCGTGTGGGCGCGGGGAGGCAGATGCATTTGGTACGGCAAACCACTGTCAACTCTACAAAAAACGAGCGGATGTACGAAAACTGGGACAAAATTGCGACAAAAAAAAAAATCGTCGAAAACCGAATCCTATGAAAACCAGGGCATACAAAAACTGAGGTTCCACTGTACAGTGGACCCCCGATTAACGATATTTTTTCATTCCAGAAGTATGTTCAGGTGCCAGTACTGACCGAATTTGTTCCCATAAGGAATATTGTGAAGTAGATTAGTCCATTTCAGACCCCCACACATACACGTACAAATGCACTTATATAAATACACTTACATAATTGGTCACATTGGGAGGTGATCCTTAAGCGGGGGTCCACTGTATATGCATCCATGCACATGAATGTCTATCCATCAATGCTCATGAATGTACTCACCTATTTGTGGTTGCAGGGGTCGAGTCTTAGCGTATGCATGTATATGCATGCATATCCGTATATGGATATGCATTCATGCATGCATATTTTGTGCAGTAGTATGATTATGCATGTTTGTGTGTATGCATGCATGCAAATATATGTATATGCAAGTAAGTTTATTCAGATACAGGTACATATAAATTGTTACATAAATTATCATACATAACATATGTGTAGATGCATGCATGCATATGTATGCATATTATCGAAATTTTTTACATAATTTCCTAAATATAGAACATATGTATATGAATAATATAATAACTGTGTATTAAAATGTGATGGTATTTGGACCCTACGAGAAATTTTGAGGAAGGGGGGTGTAGAATAGGCAGTAGGGATGCCAAGGAAGGGAGATGCCATATTGAATTTAATGTGTGCACACTGGTTGTTAAAATTGTCTAATAATCTGGTGTCATTGAGGCCATAATGGAGTGCTTGGGCCTGGATCTGTAAAAGGAACCCTTGTTAATGTCCACTACTGAAGAATTGGGACAGGAAATTTGCAGGATCTCAAGAATTACATGTGGATGACGAAAAATAAGGGATGCAACATCACTCACAGGGAAGTACACCAGTAGTCCTTGCATTTAGATCAATAGCTGGCCAATGTAGGGTCTAGGTGTTAGGCAGGTGTTCTGGTGTGCCATCTACAGTAACTAAATGGTAAGTGTTAATACCAATTACAGTGGACCCACGCCTTACGATATTAATTCGTTCCTGAGAGCTAATCGTATACTGAAATTATCGTAAGGCGAATTAATTTTCCCCATAAGAAATAAGGAAATCAAATTAATCCATTCTTGACACCCCAAAATATGAAAAAAAAAAATTTTTTACATGAAATATTAATTTTAATACACACAAACTGAAGAAGACATGCACAGTTAATACTCTACTAAGAATAGAATAGAATACATGACACTTCCCTTTATTGAAGATCTGGTGATGAT